CAGCCACCCACTTTTCTCATCACCATGGACCAATCCCACATTTACCTTTAATATCTTTAAATGGCGACCCTTTCTGGCCATGAACCCTTTCCACTCTCCATGATTTAAAGAGGCTAGTTCTTTGGCTCATTGGGGCCACATTCTGTGGATCACTTACCACCACTATTGTAAAATGGTTTTATATGGGGATGGAATTTGATCCAAACCTCCCTGATGCCAACGAAAAGACTTTCATTGATTTTTATTGGGTTCTGGATCAGGCCCACAGAATGTGGGCGTCCTGCTCTATCATTGAAACTAACAGCAGAACGACTGTTTCCCCTGCCAGATGCTAACTATGTGAAGAACAGGACCTGATAGGTGCTCTGTGATCCCCAGAGTGCAAGCTGATCCCTGGTTACAAATCAGTCCCACGGGAACCCATCAGTGCTTCCCTTGTAAACATGCCTTCTCAGTCACTGCACACCATCCTGCTGATAGCTGTTTCCTGCTCCCACTGCATGATTAGAACTAGGTTATGTTGTATATGTCCCTGAGCCAGAAGACCCTTTTAAGAGTCGGGGACAGTGGCCTCTTCCAGGTGGTCCCTACAGTGAGCCTGCAGGGATGAAGCTACTTAGCATTATCATGAGTTTTAGCAATAATGCCCTGAAAGGAATGAGAATTTATGTATTATCTCCCAAGACATCAGGGAAAGTATTAACTGAAGGGCTAAATTACGTTAAAAATGTTGCTGTGCGAAACCATTCGACTTTGTTTGTAGTAAAATATTTTGACCAATTTCAGATAATTTATCTCCAAATCATCTATTGGATTCAGGCTGTGGAAATGAAAAGTTGCATACTTCCATGCTTTGGCTGTGAACACGAACAACATTTTCCATGCACTGACTCTGTCAATGGGTATTTTTTTTCAATCAGCCGTTCATCACTTGCAAAATATAAAAGCTAATTGTGTTTCATTTTATTGGTCAGAAGGGATTAGGACAGAAGACGTGCCTTGAAAATATGGCATCTCTGTGTCTCTCACAGCTGAGACTGTAGTTAAAATTCTAATTTGACATGGAACTGTTAATGCCCCATTAACTAAGGTCTGTATAATAGATTATATTGAACTCCCCAGTAGACTGATTCACCTCTCATTTACCTTGGTGTAACTCCAGTGGCACTGCTACTGATTTACACTGGTGTAAAATGCATGGGAATCAGGTCTTAGGACTTCTGTATGACTACCGGTCAATATGGATAGGCTTACATATTTCTTGATCCACCTCATGGTATGTCCCTTGTTTGGATTTTTTTGTTTTCCCCTCACCTCTTGTCAGGATACATGGAAATTTCTGTTTTGCCTCTTATAATTCTCAGTTTAACCACTTTTCCCATTTAGACTTCAGTAATGTATGTTTGTGAACAAATTTGTGACAATGTGATGATTGATGATTAAAAATTATTGAGGTAATGGAATCCCTCTCTTGTCCCCCTTACCTCTTATCCCCCTCCACCCCACCCAAAAAAAAGTTAGCTGCAAAACAACAGTGGAGCTGCTCCATGGCCATTATTATAACCTCAATGATGCAGTAGTGTTTGTGTCCCTGCACTGCCTTGGCATTGTGGATTTTGACAAGTGGCTCCACATAGTCATTCATTGGCCATGCCCCTGCCTCACTCCACCTGCAAAATTTCCCTTCTCATTGCCATAGATGAGAAACTGAGTTCCCCTGTCGCAGGGCCTCTTCGTTTCCTGCTCTCTTGCAGCAGAACTTAGGGAGGTTCTGCTGTTTATGACCCTTCCCACTCACAAGTGGAAGGGAGGGCATATAATTTGGCTTGATATTAATAAAAATGATATAGTTAATTATATACTGCACAGTATCTCTCACATATTGAAGCATAGAAATCTAGAAATCTACCACCCTCTGCATTTACTGGAAATATATGGGATGTGCTCACATAGATCTGTTTTCACAGTGCTGAGAACTCTGGTGTGAGCCAATAAATTACCTAAGCAAGTACTTACCTTTAAGCATATGATTAGTTCCATGAAGTCAATGGATCTACTTACATGCTTGAAGTACCTGCTTAAGTACCTTGCTGGATCTAGCTAGAATGCGCTACACCGTACAGGTCTGAGCCCCTAATCGGAATGTCTGATCTCAGTCCATTGCTTCAGAGGAAGGCAGAAAAGTCCCATATTCCCTGTCAGTATAAAGTAGTGGGCTGCTGACCCTGCATTTAATAAGCTGTCCGTGGTATTTTTTTCATGGATTGTATGCAATGTGGTAATTTCCACTCCACTATACGAGCCTTGCTGAACTCACAATATTTTCAGACAATGTCTTTATCCAGCAGGAAAGAAGCATTTGAAATTTCTGTTTATCAGACTCTTAAAGGACACAAAGTATTTGGAAATGCCTGTGTTAAGTGATAAAAGGGAAAGCAGCAGTGATTAGACCTACTTTAACATCCAGAATTATCCACACGGAGTACAATCAATTTCAAACAACAAAAAATAATATATATACAAAATAATTCCAGCATTTCTAAATGCTTTATTTAATTTAAGAGACTACAGTCAATCTGTTTATCAATTGGAATTTTATTCATGTGTTATTAATATTAGACAAGAAAATAAAATCTCAATGCACATATTTTTGATAACTGCAACAGGATTTTTGGAAAAAAAGTAAATGGGAGATGCTCTCATTTTTTCTGAGGGTAGGATCTGGTTCTTAGTCAAAAGTAGTTTGTAGAAAATGTAAATGGCCAGAGCTGGCTTTGAGAAAAAAGATATACCAAAAGAAAAACCCTTTCCCACCCAATAGCTTGTTATATAAAATACCTTTTATATGTTAATGCTCTATGTATATTAATAGCTCACAAAGATTACATCTTTGTGCTCCACTGCTCAGATACCGTGGTGATAGGTGCCTTAGAAATAGGAGATATCTGTACATACACTCATACCCATATATATCCCAATACTTTAATATACAAAGAGTACAGCAGGTTTCCATGTCTAATTTATGCCAATTACTAGCCTTACCAGTCAAAAGGGCTGATTTAGTGGCAAGAACAATTTATTTCCCTCTGGGTAGGTAGAAACAGTTGGACTCAGCTTCTTAAGAGCCTTTGTTCATGAACATCTGTGTTCAAACTCCTGTAGTTAACAGATGATGCTCACAGTAAAAAAAGGAGATTAAGGCTTCCTGTAATGTCATTGTCAAATTTTGTGAACCTCTATGTAATCGTTATTGGGAGGGAAAGTGATCTAACTTCTTGTTACAGCACTTTATGCTACTCTAAGATCTTTGTGTGACAAATGGCATTTTTCTGTTTCTGACATTATTTTGCAGCCAGCAACATACTTTATGTTAGTCTTATCAGTTTCCAGAAGTGGTCAGGCAGTAAGATTTGCCTGGGCAGTTGTTGAATTGCACAAGCAAGTACATGTAACAAAATATTTATTGTTACAGCTTAAAAACACTTTTAGCCATGCAAGTTAATTTGAATATCAAGTACTGTAAATGTGAATTGTATACTGATGCTACTACACTATGCCACTTTCCAGCTGACAGGGAGCTAATTGTAGCTCTCTCAGACTCAACTATCTAGCCCCTGTATAAGTTAAAGCTTGTGGGCTGGGGTGAGGTCCGATCACAGTTTTAATTTACACCAGTGGAGAATTGGGCACAGCTTTGCTCTTGAATGGCTTCTTCGGCATGCTCTCCGACCTCAACACACACGTTCCCTTCACTTACAATGGGAGAAGTGGGATGTTCCAGCATAGGAAGCTGCAGAGCCACCTCTACCAGCTTTGTGCTGGTCAGAAATTCTCTATATATAAGGGGAACTCACTACTGCAATTTTCTCTCTGCTTGTGGTTCACTTTATGCAGCTTAAGCAGTACGGACAGGAAACTCTGGCTCTGTAATGTAGTGTCTAGTAGCCTCCCCTCATGTTGCATCTTTCTGCTTGGAGGTTTGATTTGTGGGAGTCTAAAGAACTCTGTTCTTTTACGATTATGTACTTAGCACCTTGTCCACTTAGTTTACTTCGTATACTGTCCATGTTTTCGACATTTACTGTACAAGAATAGTGTACTAGGTACATTCATTGTACACAGTCCTAAGTACATAATTGTAAAAGGGTAAAGTTCTTTAAACTGTATAAACCCATAAAAGAAACACTCCAAGAAAAATATGTGAATCTCATTCCACAAGTTAATAGCATAAGGACGCATGTAACTTAGTATTCATTTAAATTTGAGTGATGAAAATGGGATGCAAATACTTCCTAGCTAAGAATTTTAGTTGGTTTTCCATATGTTTTATTTTATAATTCTGATACTGCATTTAGGAAGATAGTTGATTGGGTGTTGGACTAGGTGGGGACACACTGGTGTAAAGGTGGTGCTTCCTGGAATGTATTAATAAATAACGGCTTTTCACAATTATAGTGGTGTTTGTTAAAAAGTCAGTATTTGCCTTTCCACACATTTCCCCCTACATTTAAAATAGGAGATACTTTTGCTAACTGAGGTAATAATTGGCAAATATTGACTTTAGTATATCTGTCTGTGTTTAGGGTTTTAATACTGGAAAATACATTATCTAATGAATGTGCAGTACTGGCAACAGGAGTCCTATAGCTAAATTCCAACACAGATTTTAAAACTTGGCCCTAGATATCCACAATACAAAACAAGCACATGTTTGGTTTTGAGTATTGTGCCCTTTACTAGTTAATTAAAAGTGATGCTGGTGCTGTCAACTTGCTAGAGTGATATATGAATGAGGATGACTATTGTTAACCTTCACAATGGAAAGGTCTTGATAAGTGCTATATCTATAGCCAGTTGAGAAATTTTGTACGTTTTTAGCAAAAAGTCTCATGAAAGTCTTTTCGTCACAAAGTGTAGAATTTTGAAATGTTGGACCAATACTAGATATAGGATGATAATCATGAAGAAGTACTGAATCTTGACTTCTTTTCTTCCTGCAGACTGGTGTTTGCAAAGCTAAAGCTCTTAATGATAGCCATAGAATACAAGTCAGAAAAACGGGAAAGCAGGTACGTTAATGACTACAAAATTTAACAGCTTTTCAGTATGCACCATGGACAATTTGGTCTTTTCATTTTTTTTTCTGAATGAACATAGCTCTTTTTATGCACATGAAAGCATTTCAAAGCATAATTAACGTGGCATCACTTTACACCAGTTCACATAATACTGGCAGGCTCTGCCTCTCTTCCTCTCTTCACCTGAATTAACGTTATGTCAAATACTTTGTTGGAAGAAAGGTAGTTTTATTTACAACTTACTTCAATAAGTGTCACTTGGTATCAGTGAAACAAATGGCTTCCACCTTTTTTTTGCCCTGGCTGACCGCACAAGGGAGCCAATCTGCTCTAATCAGAAAAGCAGCTTATTTTACTGGACCGTCAGGAATAAAAGATTGCAACAATCTCATGATAATATGCGCTGTATTATGTACTGCATGCATTTCTCTGCATCACAGTTTTAAATGAATGAGATGAGAAAGCTACTCTTAGAATAAACATGGAAGGTTTGGACAGTATACATACAATCGACAGCTATAGATATGTATCATATTTGTGTGTGAGAGTGTATAAATAATATGATTGAGCTGGGAAGGATTTGTTTTAGTTAGAAAATCCAAATATGCTAATTTTACCCTCCATCCAAAAATTGAAGGAAAAAATCTGTATAGCCAATAACAAAAATTTACAGACAGAAAAAGAGTTGTTTTGTTTTGTGTATGAGAGCTAAAAAGAGTCCCAGCTTAATGTGCATTGGTGTCAAAATTCTTTCTAATTTATCAATACCTCCACCTGTGCATTCACACCACATTCATTGTTACTTGAGATGGTGGTAAAACCTCCTGGTCTGTTACCAGTGTGCTCTAAAAGGGCATGATTCAAAGTAATTGTGGACTTACAAACTGTATTAATTATTTCTGAAATATGTTATCAACATACTGTAGACAAATCCATTACAACATTCTGTAGTAAAACTGTTAACATACGTAGAAGTCTGTCATCATGTCTTTTTGGTAACTGATCACCTAAACCTAAGATGGAGGTGATCTTGAGTTTATACAGCTTTAGACCATGTCTACGCTACCACTTCTGTTGGCAAAACGTATGTTGCGCAAGGGTGTGAAAAAACACACCCTTGTGCGACATACGTTTCGCCAGCATAGGTGGTAGTGTGCACAGCATTATGATGGCAGGAGAGCTTCTCCCACCACCATAGTTACCACCGTTTGTTGCGGGTGGTTTAATTATGTCAACGGGCAAGCTCTCTCCTATCGGCGTAGAGCGACTACACAAAAGATCTTACAGTGGCACAGCTGCATCGGTACAGTGTAGATATAGCCTTAATCTTCACCTGAACAACCAGTTCACTTCTTAAACCATGTATCACAACTTTGGACATGTTTTTATATTTTTTAATTATTTGTTTAAAGAATGTTTAATCATCCCTAAATATCCATTTTTCTTATTAAAAAGAATCTATTAAAAAAGTCATGGGGCATCCAAGACAGTCTGAATGTTTCCACTTGTTATGTGGATAGTTGAAATATAGCTCCCATTGAATGTTTGATTTTACATCCCTCTTTTTTTTACAGTCCTCTGACAAGTAATATGTGAAATGGTGTATGTGATGCTGGATTTTCTTTTTGTCTAATACCACTGCAGATTAAGGGGACCCTTCTTTTAAGTCAGAATTTTGAAATGTTTTCTACTCCTATTGGCTTATCTTAAAATAGATACCTTCCAATGAATAGCCTCATTCTGCATTAGCAGGTGTAAAGCGAACAGTTTATTGTTTTTATGTTTGATCAGTTTCATCCATTACTAGAAAGGACAATACAATAGAAACATTATTGGTAACTATTTACATGAAGTTCTTGGTTTATACTGCTTCTCAATAAGAATTCATACCCAAATCTTTGCTGTCATTGCTTCCATTCTCATTCTGTGACATAAGTGTTGATATTGTAGTTTTTCTTCAATAATTTTGGAGAGCATCCATCTCCCATGTAGGTCAATGGGAGCCTTTCCACCAACTTCAATGGGAGTTGGAATGGTCCTTATTCACAAGATGGTATAGAAAAGTCAAATAAAGTAACACAGCATGAAAGAGCATCCACTTATATATATATATATATATATTCATTACCTAATGTCACAAAAGTTAAAAGTTCATAGTAAAGAAATATGGTAGAAAGTGAGGACAATAGAATTTGTAGGAAAAAATAAAATACTAATGAAGATGAGTGAACAGTTTTGAGACTGTGAGAGCACAGTATTTGTTGTAAACGTCCAACAGTAGAGAAATCCACTAGTTGGAGGGCCAGCTTTTGCTCTGCTAAAGTAGTGCCAAAATAGTACTGTTGGTCTGATGAACTGTTTTAAGAATAATTACCTTGTGAACCACCATAACTAGAATATTTTCATTTCATTAGAAAGCTTGGAATAACCACTTCCCAATGACATGTAACCTTAATTTATAGTTCTGCTTGTTCATGTGATCCTGGACCTCAGTGTCACATACTTCTGATGCCGTCCTGCATTTCTACCATATACTTTGGCCCCAGTTAACCAGAGTATTTAAGAATGTGCTTAAAAATACCAGTAAATAATGAATGTAATAAATTAAATGAAAGCTATGCTTTAAAACCAGGTGAAGTCCTATTGACTTCAATGGGATCTCAAAGTTAGCATGTGTTTAAGAGCACTGCTGAAGTGGAACATGTTAGTCTAACCAGAAATGTAATCGTAGAAACCATTCATTTCTTACTTTTTAGAGTTTCTTGAGAATTTTGGCTCCTAGAGTCATGCCCAAACTGAAGCAGAGAGATGAGAAAGCAAGACAGTGATCAGAATAACCGGATTTTAAGCATGGGGAGTCAGTTTATTGCATTCATTATTCACCAGTATTTTTTGTTGCTATTGATTGTGGTGAAAATATCAGACCTTTTCCTCCAATTCTAATGTCTTCAGCATTTAACTGGTCCTTAATTGGTAGTTCCTCTTCAGTGTGAATAGGGAAGCTGCCTATACCATGGAACCTGAAGCCAGCTTCTCACAGTTCTTGGGCGAGGGGTCCACAGTGGAGGTGTACAAATTAACTTTCCTCCTTGTTTTGTGAAACTTTTAAGAAGTTCTCCATAGTTTACATTCAATGGCAACAAAAATGTTCAGAGAAAAAAATCTTTAACTAGATGCCCTTGCTTCGACAACCAGTATAGCATGATGTTCCTGAGTCTGGAAACATTTTGAAGCTCCAGTACCAATTTTTTCAGGGCCAGTGAAAGGTTACTTCTTTGAGTAGTGTCCCTGTGGGTGCTCCACTTCAGGTGTGCATGTACCCCTGAAATTTTATCAGAAATTTTTGGTAGCAGCGCCTGTTCAGCCCATGCATACATCCTACACACACTTGTGCCCCATACCGTGGCTATATAGGGCTTCGCAGGCAAACCACACTCTGTTTCTTTTGAAGCTCCTTCAGCCAGAGGCAGAATTTAGTGTGCACCTGTTTCCTGTTTTATTAGTATTCTTAGCATTAATAGTTCTTAGTAGTAGTAGGTTTAGTATCTTATAGATGTTGGAACGCTTGTTCCCATTTGTTTTTCTCTTTTCTTTAAAAAATATATATATACATATTTTTGTTTGTTTGTTTTTCCCCTCTATTGAGGGGCCCTAAAATTTTTTCTTGTGTCTGGGGTGCTGGTCTCCCTGGGGTTTAAAAGGTGCCTCTCTTGTCAAGAAGTAATCCCCATCAGTGACGGGTACTCCCAGTGCATTTGTTGTTTGAGAGATGCTCATATTCCCAGCAAGTACAAGATCTACACTTCTTTTAAGGAAAGGTCCCAAAAAACAGGGAAATAAAGTATAGGCTCTTAATAATGGAGCTAACTTTAAGACTGGCTTCTGACCAGATACAGAAAACCCACCTGTACAAGCTGTTAGTGCCCTGTCGACATTGAGATTACAGTCATTGAGAGCTTCCCAGGTGAAGATGGCATCAAAACCCTGGTCTCTGACAAGCTCTATGAGCGAGGTACCAACAACTGCGCTGGTGGTACCAAGAGTTTCCCACTCTAACATGAAGGAGGGGATAAGAGGAGAACAACAGCAAGTTCCTCCTTGAAGAAGATTCAGTCACTGGAGGCCCTGAGATGGCTGCTTGTGAGGCTCTGAGCACTTCAGGTACCATGAAGCACTTCAACTAAGTCCCATACTACAGTGGTAAAGGCCACAGCACCAAAGACTACTATTACCAAGAAAGTGGTGTCAGTGGAATGCACCATCCCCTTGGTACTCACATCAATGCCTTGGACAATGGCATCTAGAATGTCATCAGTGCCTGTATCAAGTTCTGTTGTGCTCCTGGTATCACAGACATTCTGGTACCTGAATGAGCCTGAGTCTCCACTCCTTGTGACTTCTGGACACCTCTCCGTACTGAGGTCTGCTGAGTCACTGACTGCTCATGTTTCTGTGAGACCTACATCTTTCCTAACTTCTACTATCCATGAAGAGGGGTTGCCACCTCTCATACAATATGTGGAGGAGCATTCTGACTCAGACTCTGAACTTTCAGTTCAGGGCTCTCCACTTTATTTCAGAAGACATTATTCCCTGATGCAGATGCAACAAAGCAGGATATCAGACCCCTGCCTACAAATATTTGGGATGACCATTGTTGGATACCTTCCCCCACCATGGCTTTGGGTTCCCCTCACTGGCCTTCCTGAGTAGCAGACTGTCTAAAGTGGTTCACGACCATAAGTGCCAACCCATGGAGAGACTGTCAGAAACAGGGCAGATACCCCAAACTGTTCGTATGTTCTATAATTCAATATCCCCAACCCAGTAACAAATGTGAACTGAAGCGCTATAATAGTCCTATCATGGAATCACAAACAGACTGAAATGCCCAGGAGGACTATCTTGCAACTGAGGCAAGCTAGACTTTGTAATAGTTGGTTGCTATATACCAAAGATCACTAAAGATTCAGGTGGCTTCCATTCCCGAG